CAAGAGATTTTCCTGCTGCGATTCTTGTCAAAAACTGGCATATGTAAACAGTTCTCAACTGATCAGATGTAAGACTAGAGAGTCCATGAATAATAGCTGAAAAAGAAATAAATAAATTTTATTAATATTAAACCAAACAATCCAGTAGTTGCATTATATGTGGTTAATTAATAGGTGACAAAATTACCATAAATCTAGAGTTGAATGTTTTAGTTACTTAGAAAATTTTTAAAAAATCGGAAGAAGGGGCCGGGGAGATAGCTCACTAGAATAAGCGCTTGCCTGGCAAGTGCAAGGGCCTGAGTTCAATCCCCAGTTCCAAAAAAAAAAAAAAAAAAAAAATCGAAGAAAAGTGGGGGCTATTGGTACACAACTGAAAGCCCAGTGCTCTGGGAGGGTGAGGCAAGAGCTGGTGCCTAGCCTGGGCAACTTTGTGACTCTGTCTCAAAATAAAAAGTAAAACAATGTGCCTAGAGATATGGAAAAGTCCTGAGTTTGATCTTCAGTATCACAAGCAAAACCAAAACCAAATCATCACAAAAACAGCTCTCTATAATACAGTACATTCCCAACTTAAGAAATTCCAAGCTGTGAACTTTCACAGGTACAACACAACTTGAATTTTTTTATTAGACTCAATTTGTCAGATTTATGAATGAATCTGACTTCTAAAAGTTCTCCTGAAATGGAATTTATTAGTAAGATGGGGACTTAATGTATAACTGATTCACATGCAGAATAACAAATATTTAAAATTATTTTCAAAGTATTACAGTACTCTAACAAAAAAATTTAGATCTAAGATATTTTGTGCCATAAAATTCTTCATATTATAGGAAATATTTCACATTCTATCAAATTTCAGTTATGTAGTTTGTTCAAATAGCTATATTTTAAAAATACACTTATTAATATTTATCTCACAAGTATTTGCCCACTGAGATGTTATACCAGGCAGTGAATACATACAATGGTGAGTTAACCTCATCCCTGGATCTTAAGTGAGCTAGCTCATTAAAAGATGAATGACTCAACCTCTAAAATAAAATGTGAAACT